CAGGCATGCCCATTATCTGGTTTGTGAAACTGTCTTGCCTCTACCAGGAAAACAAGATGGTGCCAGTTAAACTCAACTCCCTACCATTCCTACCACATGGCCAAGATGGCACTGTCCTGTTCTACCACTTCTGATGTGTATGTAGGGTGGTCTCCTATTCTGCCTTTGAGGCTCCCATAGGACGTTTTCAGTGAATATTTGTTAAATGAATACAGAAATCAATTTCCTGAAATTGTGTATGGGCGGAAAAAATTTGTGTCTTGACTCATTATCTTGAAATCCTTTGAAAAGTATGTGATAGCAGGGAGCTAATGGCTCACCCTTGTAATTGTAGATATTTAAGTGATTGAGATCTAGGGATTGAGGTTTGGAGATTGCCAGGCAAAGAATTCTGTGAGACTCTCATCTCCATTAAGGAGAAAAAGGTAGAAGTTGAAGCTTTGGATCAAGTGGTAGAAGACCAGCCTTGCACAGCAAAAAAGTGAGAGTATCCAGGCCCTTAGTTTAAGTTTCACTATTGGCACACACACACACACACACACACACACACAAACAGTATATGAGGGGTTGGGAAGGTGGCTCAGTGGTAGAGCGCTTGCCTTGCATGCATGAGGCCCTGGGTTCGATTCCTCAACACCACATAAGCAAAAAGGAAAAAGCTGTAAGTGGCGCTGTGGCTCAAGAGGTAGAGTGCTATCCTTGAGCTGAAGAGCTGAGGGACAGCGCCCAAGCCCAGAGTTCAAGGTCCCACGACCGGACCCCCCAAAAAAACAAAAACATATATGAGATCCTGTTACAATTCATCATGGTAAGGATCAAAGTTGCATAGTTAAAAACTATTGTGATCTCATAGTTATACTGTTTCTTTCTGCTCTTGCTGGAATCAAGTAGTGAAGAAGAAATTTTTTTTTTTTGGTCCAGTCGTGGGGCCTGAACTCTGGGCATGGGCACTGTCCCTCAGGTCTTCAGCTCAAGGCTAGCGATCTACCACTTGAGGCACAGCGCCACTTCTGGCTTTTTTCTTTTTACTTATGTGGTGCTGAGGAATTGAACGCAGGACATCATGCATGCAAGGCAAGCGCTCTACCACTGAGCTACCTTCCCAGCCTTGAAGAAGAATTTTCTATTTTGAAATATGTAGCTGAGTTGTCTTTATTGCATCCTGTTGCATCATTTCCAGACACACTCATTGACTATTTGATTTTTGTATGACATTCTGAGAGACCAGCATCCACCTCCATTGGAGGATATTTCAACTATTGAAGCTTCCAAATGGACATTGAAATGGACAGAAACCAAACAGTCTGGATGCAGAGTTTAGGAATGTTATTAAAAAAAAATCAGTAGGGACATTCAACAGCAGCCATGAGGGGGCAGAATAATTAACAAAGATAAGTGAGGCTGAGAGTGATGTGGATGGCCAAGGGTACAATGGCTGGTCACTGGTGGAGCAGGGAAGTGGGTGCTGCCTGATGCAGCCATAGGACACACCAAGCAAACTCACTACTTCCCTGTGAGTGTGATCTTTAAGGCCTGACCTGCAGATGGCAGAAGATGACCTTACTGCCTTGTGCACCTATAATGTTATGGTCTCACCTTCTAGAGAATTATCTCTGCCCTTGATGCATCTGCTCTTCCAGCTTCTGAGTTGCTAGCTGCAAGGGGACTCCAGCCTCTTCTTGAATTGAATTGTCTATTTTTCTCTCCTCCAGCTCATCCAGGGGATATATCATTCTGGGTGTTCTATATGACCCTACTGATTCCTATGGCCTTACATTACTTAGTGCCCGTCACACTCTCTAGATTCTAGGCTACAAGGAATGTTTTGTTGTGAGGAGGCTGAGTCTTAGTAACTTCTCACAGTCATCCTGGTGCCTTGTAGGTGGAGGGGGCTCTCTGCCCAGTGCTGAAAAGCCTAGAGATTAGAGAGGCCATTCACGGAATTGCAAATGCCATGGTTCGTCTGTTCTGAAGACCAAGCTACCCACCATCTGGTTTGCCAGGGTTGGATGTCTGAGGACAGGTCTGATATAAACAACTTAGGAAAGATTTAGTTTGCTCATATTTGGGGAGGTTTTTAGCAAAGCGAAGCTTCTCACTTAATGATGCCTTAGAAGTAGAGGTAGAGGGAGGGAATGAGAATGAGAACAAATCTACATTCCTGGCATTCTGCTTTTTGCCTGTTTCTTTCTATCAGGATCCCAAAATCTGATGGTAGTGTTCTCATTTAGTGCCTATCTTCTCAAACACTGTTAATTCTTCTTGGAACAACCCTTACTAACTTAACAGGAGTGCGTTCCTAATCTCCTAGCTGCTTCTCAATCCAATCCTATTGATATTCAATACATCCATCACAAGTTTTGTTAACTTGGAACCCCAAATTCTTCATAACTATATGATTCCACTCTTTGCCCTTTGGACTTTTGTCCATCTTCTCTAGTTCCCCACAGCAGCTCAAAATTTCTTCATACACTGGAGGAAAGCTCTTGTGAGTTCCTGTAAAGTCAAACACAGGTTATACCCCCCATGAGATAAAAATGTGATTAGATATTTCCATTCTAAAAGGGAGGAAAAGCCCTGCCTTAAGGTATTTTCATTTGCAGATGGCTAGAATTTAGCCAATTTCTGAGATATCCTGAAGACAACTTTATTTTGCTCTAGTGCATAGCAGTCCTTTCTTGTAGTTGGTAGCCCAGAGACTTTTCTCTGTTGGTTGATTGGCTTTGAGCCAGGTTCCTGCTTTCTGACTAGCTAGGATTACAGACAAGAGACACTGGCGCAAAGTTCTCAATTTCTTCTTTTTTTTTTTTGGGTCTGGTCGTGGGGCCTGACTCTGGGCTTGGGTGCTGTCCCTCAGCTCTTCAGCTCAAGGCTAGCACTCTACTACTTGAGCCACAGCACCACTTCCGGCTTTTTTCTTTTTGCTTATGTGGTGCTGAGGAATCGAACCCTGGGCCTCAGGCATGCAAGGCAAGCGCTCTACCACTGAGCCACCTTCCCAGCCCTCTTGTCTTTTTTTTTTCAATTTCAACTTTTAGATTTAATTTTTTAAATTTTTTTATTGTAAAGATACTATACAGAGGATTATAGTTACATGAGCAAGGTAATGAGTACACTTCCTATTGAGCATTGTTACCCCCTCCATTGTTTTCCCCCTACCTCCCTTCCCTCCCTACCTTCCCTGAGGTTCTTTTTTTTTTTTAATTGTGATTAAGTGATTACATAATTTCCGGAATTTCACAGTATTGTGGAATAATGATGCTCATTTAGAGTCACAAGTTCATTCTAACTTTCCTGGATCAAATTGTCTATCACAGTCTATAACATATAACGGTGTACACATATACACCATACAGTGATCAGCAGCATGGGGATATTTAGTAGTGGTTCGACCAGATGAGTGGGAGTTCTTGGTTTCTTAAGTCCTGTTAGTTTTGTCGTATCACCTAACATTTTGGATTTAGCATTAACTTATCAGGGAGACCATGTACTGTTTGTCTGTTTGCTCTTGGCTTAACTCGCTCAACATGATTCCTTCTAGCTCCATCCATTTCCCTGCAAATGCCATTATTTTGTCATTTTAAATTTAATTTTTTATCTTCAAGTGCTTGTCCAAGTCTGTTACAACTTATAACTATGTGTATAGGGCATCTTGATCTGTCACCCCTTTCTTCATTCTCCTTCCCCAACAGCCATGAGAAGCTTCCCACTTTTGTTTTAACATATGTACTTGGGAATAAGAACTACATTTGCCTACCTTTGCTTTTCCATTCATCTTCCCCCATCCCACTAATTCCACATTCAAACATTTCAGCATTTGTATTCATTTAGTTGAATTCTTTGTGGAAATGGTTTTACTTTTGGTATATTATGCTTTAGTAAACTTGGTCAAGTATATGTGCACATGCTCCCATGTGTGTTTACATGGGAAGTGTTAGTTGTTGTCCAAGATGTTCATATGACAGAAAACATGTGCTCCTAGTCCTTGTGGGTAAAGGCACTAATTTATTTCCTTTCTACTCTTCAGTTCCTAAGAATGCCTGGGCTCCAGATCTCTCCCATGGGTGAGTGCATGAGACAGAAGCACATGAACTTATGGTATACATATGTATATACTATATGTATATGTATTCTATGTGTATATGTATTTTATATATCTATGCATTCTATATATGTATAGATATAGCTATAGATATATATCTATATATACATATATCTACATATCTATACATAGTATAGTATATGTATTGTATATGTATTGATATATCTACAAGTCTATACATAGTATACAACATACATATGTATATATGCATACATGTACTATGTATAGGATATAGAAACACATAGTATATATATACTATAGTATATATATAGTGTATATATATATATGTATATAAGTGTATATATATGCATATACATACACATTGTACTAGTATATGGTACTAGCATATATATGTATATTACGATGCTAGTATCTATATCTATATTATATAGTATATAGAGAGATATATATACTATACATATAGATAGTATAGATAGTATATATATGTATATGTCTATATCTATAATATATAGATACATGTATATACATGTATACACACTATAAGGTGCACCAAAAGGTATAGTTAGAAAAAGAAATGTGCGGATGATTGCCATGATCACCGTATGAAAACTAGAAATTTATAGGCAAGCTTATTTAGTGCTGAATTTTGTAGTTGGTCTCAGAGGAAAACCAGGATTTCCAGGAAGTACTTCCACTCACCTGGCCCAGCTGGGATAGTTAGGTCCCCACACACCTGCGGCAGGCCACGGACCTCCAGTCACAGGTTGAGTAAGAAACCTACATGTCCACTTCCTCCCGTATGACGCAATGCATAGTGGGAAATGTAGTCTCCTCTCGGGCACAGAACCATTGGGCGGGGCTCTTTCAGGCTCCTCCCGTGCATGCGCTTCCGCGCCCATTTAGGGCATTTTCCGCTCAGAAATTCCGGTTCCTGGCGTTGTGCCGCGCTCCTGGGAAGTTTCCGAAGTAAAGTTCAGTGTTGTGAGTGCCGGAGCCCGGGTGGCAAGAGGCCCCGCTGTGCCTGGCGAACCTGGGGACCTGAAATGTGAGTGGATGGCAGGCAGGCAGGAAAACGGGCTGCAGGCGGCAGCTGGAGCCGGGCGGGTAGCCTGGAGGCTCCACGCACTGCCGGTCCCTCCGGTCTGGGTGACTGTACCTGGGGTCGTGATTGCTTTGTCAGAGTCGGTTCTGCCAGAATCAGTGTCCTTCCAGGTGCCGGAACCTAGCTGGCTCGGGAAGGCTCGCGGGCAGGCTAGAAGGTTGTCCAGACTAGGAGAGCTGGGGAGGCCTGCGCTTCTGTTCCACGCCTGATTCTGCTGTGAACCGAGGTGACATCCTCATTGCTCTTGCCCTGCTGAAAGATGGACGCAGTCACAACTGTAGTGCAGTTGTGAAATGTGTGTTGGACGAGTCATGTGATATGGCTGTGGAATTACCGTGGTTCTGTGTTGTTTCTTCTAGGAACGTTTCTAATTCCCTCCTACACCACGTAGCCCGCTTAGCACTCCTGGCTCCAGTTTACACATGTTTGTACACGACCTAGTTTCTAGAGAAAGTTGTTTATAGGATATTTGAGAACTGGCTGATGGACTTGTATTCTTTGGAATTAAGTAAGCATGGTAAATTTGAAGGAGGGCAGATTCTGAATAGGAGTGTGCATCCTGAAAGAACGAACACTTGCTATCCTAAAGGACAGAGGCAGAGAAGCACAAGAAGGAAGGATCTCATTAACTTAGTAATTATTGCCGCTGCTTTCCATAGCGCAAGATTCACGTGGGACTCTTCTGCAAAGCTCCCAACTCTCCAACTTGGCGAGAGGAGAAGTGAGCTAGACTGAGGAATGAGCCAGAGCTGAATTCTCAGAGGGGTAGGAGGCAGTGGTTTGTGGTTTGTAGTGGAGAGACACCTTGTCACACCTGAAAGAATCTGTCTCTACAAGTACCCTAATTCCAGTCTCATTGATTCAGTCAACCCCAGTATCATTTCTAGAATGCAAGCTCTCTCAAACGTATCTTGTTATTAAATATGCCTTTTAGAGATGTACTGGTATTTGGTTTTACCTGATGATTGGTCTGACAATTCAGGAAATGCTTGCTAGGGACCTTAATGCTTTATAACAAAAATGATAAAAATAAAACTTAAGTTGATATAGCTAGCTCAAGATTGTATTGTTTGTAGATGTTAAGTAACCCGAAGATTTAGCTAGTGTTACCCATTTTGTTAAAATCTCTCAAAAGTAGTATTTTTTCAGTTTAGGGATTTTTTTGGGGGGTCGGTCGTGGGTCCTGAACTCTGGGCCTGGTCGCTGTCCCTCAGCTCTTCAGCTCAAGGCTAGCGCTCTACCAATTGAGCCACAGCGCCACTTTGGGCTTTTTTCTTTTTGCTTATGTGGTGCTGAGGAATCAAACCCAGGGCCTCAGGCATGCAAGGCAAGCACTCTACCACTGAGCCACCTTCCCAGCCCCTAGGGATTTTTTTTGAAGTGAGGGAGGTGATTGAAGTCAATGTTTCAAAATACTTTACTTGAAATATGCTGATTTTATTTCCTTTCTTTTTTTTTCTTTTTCTTTTTTGTTTTTGTTTTTGTCATTCATGGGGCTTGAACTCTGGGCCTGGGTTCTGTCCCTGAGCTCTTCAGCTTAAGGCTAGTACTCTACCACTTGAGCCAGTGCCACTTCTGGTTTTCTTGTGGTTCATTGGAGATAAGAGTCTCATGGTCTTTCCTGCCTGGGCTGGCTTTGAACCTCAATCCTCAAATCTCGGCCTCTTGAGTAGCTAGGATTACAGGCATGAGCCCAGGGCCTGGCTAAAGATTACATTTTAAAATGGAAATTCTGTAACATGAAACTGTAAAGTTTTTGCTGTATGGCTGCCTAGAATTGAAAACAAAATAAAAATACACTCCCCCATGAAATCTATGAAAATTCCAGTCCCCTAATTGGGATATTTAGCCTATAACAAATTTATTTTATTTTACTTATTTTTGTTGGTTGTGGAGGTTGAACTCAGGGCCTGAGTGCTGTCTCTGAGCCTCTTTGTGTTCAAGGCTAGCCTTCTACCACAGTACCACTTCCAGCTTTTGAGTGGTTAATTAGAAATAAGAGTCTCACGGGGACTTTTTGCCCAGGTTGACTTCTAACTGCAATCCTCAGATCTCAGCTTCCTGAGTAGTTAGGATTATAGGTGTGAGCCAACAGTGCCCAGCTATTTTATGTTTTGTGAAGTTAAAAAAAAAACAAAACTTTATTGTGATGGAGAAAATGTTAAGACTAAAATGCATATGTTGCTTTTTATTTTGTTTCGTTTTTTGTCAGTTGTGGGGCTTGAACTCTGGGCTTGGGCGCTGTCCTTGTGGTCTTCAGCTCAAGGCAAGTGCTCTACCGCTTGAGCCATGGCACCACTTCCCATATGTTTTTTATGGGAATGATTCACTTAGTGTTTTTAATGATTCACTTAGTGTTTACTAGCAGCAGCAACCTCAGTGAATTCCCCATAATAGACTTTCATGATAATTTGGATTTTTCCTCCTTGTGGCTGGAAAGTTCACTTCATATTATCCCAAAACTTTGTCTCCTACATAATTTTGTTAAAAAAAACACAGAGGCATGGATGATATCAGCACTATGTAGTAAACCACCCAGCACATACGGCCCATGATAGAGCATATGGAGAAGAAAGAAGGAAAGAAAGGGGATGGATGCAGTGAGGAAGGGAAGGAAGTATGGAACAGAGATAAGAAGGAAGGAAGGTATTTTGAGAAAAAGTGATCTTTTTGATCCAAGTGGGTTGCTTAAAAGTTCTTGACTTGTGCGGGGCGTCTGTGGCTCACGCCTGTAATCCTAGCTACTAAGGAGACTGAGATATGAGGATCACAGTTCAAAGCCAGCCCAGGCAGGAAAGTCCAAGAGCCAGCAGAAATTACTAGTGATAGCATCCAAAACCAACCATCCTGAGTAAGGAAACCAGATGATTAAGGCCTAATCTTCTAAAGAAATAATCCTAACAGAAATGCAATAATGAGTCCGGCCCAAAATGTAGCTCCACAAAACTTTAAACAAGTGAAATGGCGGGATGTTTTGCTATATGTGCTGGCTCCTGTATATCCAGCAGAATAGCAAGGTTCTTCACAGTATAATTGTGTTCAGGGAGGAGGCAGTAAGGAATTTTTCAAACTTTTGTTCCCATATTTATTGATATACCTTTGCCTAAAGCAATTTAAATGGCAAATCCAGACCAAATGCTTCAGGCTACTTTGGGTAGAGAAAGATGTGCTATCTGGGAGCCATTATTGGAAGAGGAAGCCTATATATTTTTTCCCTAAATTCTGAGTGAAAAATGCTAAGTTGTAACAAACATGCTTTCCCTGATACTTAAGTATTCCAAAACAGAGTGAAATATTCAATAGAGTCTTATGTGATATCCTTACATTAACAGGAAAATAACTCATACTTTCCTAAGTGCATTTCTATAATTACTAATATTAATATAAGATATTGTATCTCTTTCTTTGATTTATATTATTTAATTATTTTTGAGGGAACATTAATTGTTCCCTCATCTAGAAATGAATTACATTTATGATATCTACCAATTAATGTTCTGTGGATACATCTTTAATGGAGAATATATTGTGTCTACTTCAGCCATGAAAGGGTCTTCTCCCACAGGAAGGTCTTTTTTTTTTTTTCCCCTTCCGTGTGTAGTGTCTTGAGCAAGAATCTGGGACAAAGCCACATTGGCTCTTTCCTGACTCCATTTTATTTGCCTTCTCTCCCAGCTATACTCTCAAAATCTTCTCTACATTGTCAACAGCAACAGAAAAATGAATGAATCTCTGGTGAGTTGCTTTCATTTATTTCTTTGCTTTTTAGGAACTTTTAATAAACTTAGTGGGGTCCAAGAATTAAAATGGAAAAATAGAAAAGATTTAGTCTCAGGAAAATGTTCATAAATAAGATAAAGATGGCTTGTAGATTTAGCAGATTATGAAATCTTGAGTCAGTTTAAGTTGAATGCAAATTTATCTCAAATTTGTCTTCCATGTTTCTGATGTGAGAAAGAGTAGTTATACATAATCCAGTGACACCTAGGAACTCAGCATGCTAACATCTTATGGAATGCAAATATTTGCTAGCCATTGGTCTGAAAACTCATCCTCATTCATTATACATTAAACTATCTTAATGATGTTAAACTATGTTAGTGACATTTTTCTGGAATTACTGAATTAATGTGATCCCAAACATCTCTGAATGTTAGAGTCCTGAGTAAGCTATATACTCAAATGACTGTCCACACATAACCCTTGGCTGGTGTGTATTTTCTGTAAAGAATGCAACAGACTGCATAGAGTTGCATGTTTTTCCAAAAGCTCATTAGTGACTTAAATTACAGTCTTTTTAGTGTTGTTTTTTTAACTTGAACTTATGCTATATTTGATGATGTTGTCTATGGCCTTTCTGTGTGTGTGTGTATGTGTGTGTGTGTGTTTTGCAGGTCGTGGGGCCTGAACTCTGGGCCTGGGCTCTGTCCCTCAGCTTTTCAGCTCAAGGCTAGCACTGTACCACTTGAGCCATAGCGCTACTTCTGGTTTTCTGTTGGTTTATTGGAGATAAGAGTCTCATGGACTTTCCTGCCTGGGCTGGCTTTGAACTGTGATCCTCAGATCTCAGCCTCCTTAGTAGCTAGGATTACAGGCTTGAACCTCCTGTGCCCAGCACAAGTCAAGAACTTTTTTTTTTTTTTTTTTTTGCCTGTCATGGGGCCTGAACTCTGGGTCAGGGCTCTGTCCCTCAGCTCTTCAGCTCAAGGCTAGCGCTCTACCACTGGAGCCAAGCACCACTTCCGGCTTTTTCTGTTTATGTGGTGCTGAGGAATTGCACCCAGGGCCTCATGCTTGCAAGGCATGTAGTCTACCGCTGAGCTACCTTCCCAGCCCCAAGTCAAGAACTTTTAAGCAACCCACTTGGATCAAAAAAGATCACTTTTTCTCAAAATACCTTCCTTCCTTCCTTCTTATCTCTGTTCCATACTTACTTCCTTTCCTCACTGCATCCATCCCCTTTCTTTCTTTCCTTCTTTCCTCTCCATATGTTCTATCATGGGCTGACTTCTCACTCCAGTTTTCCTTCTCTTAGGACACTTTCTGAACTGACTTTCTCTTATATCTTATATAGGAAAATCACTAAAGTTACCATCTGCAATCAAATAGATTTTTCCTAATTTCATTCTATTAGGTCTAACCTCATTTAATGTGATGCTGCTTTTTTTTGCTTGCTCTTCTCACATTATTGAATATTTTCATTCATTGGATGTATAAGAACAGAAGCTGATAGTTCTGGTAAACTTTTGACTTGGTTTATTACATTAGAAGTGTCACTGTTCACAAATCTGGAGGACATTTACTCAGTAATAAGGTTTGGGCTCTTAGGAACTCTGCTTTGAGCCAATATTTATGGCAACATCTCCTTAGAACTCTGCTAGGTGAAAGCATTTAGGAGTTAGTGGAACACATTTGTAATGCAGTCAATGAAAAGTTATACAAGGATAAAATAAAAATGCATAAGAGTCTTAACAACTTTTGTCTCTATCCTGTGTATTTGTTCATAACTGTTCAAAGTTTGTATTATGTCATTGCATTTCCACTAACTTTGACAACATGTTTTTCAAATTCTATTTCTCTCTCTCTTTTTTTGGGGGGGGGGGGGGTCCAGTTGTGGGGCCTGAACTCTGGGCCTGGGCGCTGTTCCTCAGCTCTTCAGCTCAAGGCTAGCGCTCTACTACTTGAGCCACAGCGCCACTTCCGGCTTTTTTCTTTTTGCTTATGTGGTGCTGAGGAATCGAGCCCAGGGCCTCAGGCATGCAAGGCAAGCGCTCTACCACTGAGCCACCTTCCCAGCCCTTCTCTCTCTTTTTTGCTGCCAGTCCTGGGGCTTAAGCTCACAGCTGGACACTGCCCTTAATACTCTCCCACTTGGGGCTGGGAAGTTGGCTCAGTGGTAGAGCGCTTGCCTTGCATGCCAGAGGCCCTGGGTTCGATTCCTCAGCACCACATAAGCAAAAATAAAAAAAAAAAAAAAAAAAAAAAAAAAATACTCTCCCACTTGAGCCTTGGCTCCACTTTCAGCTTTCCGCTGTTTAATTGGAGATAAGAGTCTCACGGACGTTTCTGTCTGGGCTGAATTCAAACTGCTGCTCTCAGCTCTCAGCCTCCTGACTTGCCATCATTGCAGATGTGAGCCACTGATGCCCTTCTTTCAAACTCTTCTAAATTTCTTTTTTTCTTTTTCCTTTGTAATTTCCATTAATTACTTAAAGTCAGTAAGGAAAATAGATACATATATCACATATATTTCTGATATAATTCCTATAACCTAATATTTGTCACATTACTCTTTCAGTGTTGTGTTTTTGTTTTTAATCAGTCATGGGGCTTGAACTCTAGGCCTAAGCACTGCCCCTCAACTCTTCAGCTCAGGGCTAACACTCTGCCACTTGAGCCACAGCACCACTTCTGGTTTTCTGGTGGTTTATTGGAGATAAGAGTCTCATGGACTTTCCTGCCTGGGCTGGTTTTGACCTGTGATCCTCGGACCTCAGCCCCCTTAGTAGCTAGGATTACAGGCAAGAGCCACTGGTGCCCGGCTTATGTTAATTTGAAGACAGGTTTGCTGTGTAGTACAAGTTGTTTTGTTTTGTTTTGTTTTGTTTCTTCTTCTTTTTTTTTTTGTCGGTCGTGGGGCTTGAACTCTGGATCTGGGCTCTTCAGCTCAAGGCAAGTGCTCTACCACTTGAGCCACAGTGCCACTTCCGGTTTTCTGGTGGTTTATTGCAGATAAGAGTCTCACGGACTTTCTTGCCCAGGCTAGCTTTGAACCATGATCCTCAGATCTTAGCCTCCTGAGTAGCTAGGATTACAAGCATGAGCCACCAGCTCCTGGCAAAGCTTTTCTTAACTTGATATATAGCATAGGCTATCTTGTAATCTTGCTTCAAACTCCCATAATCATGGATTTTAGGTATTTATTTCCATGCCTGGCAACATCATCATCATCATCATCATCATCATCATCATTATTATCTTGAGCTCAGGATCTGACACTGATTTTTGGCTGGATTTTACCATGTGAGCCATGCCTCCAATCCCACTATTCTTAAATGTACAGTTTATTGATATTGCATATATTATATTGTTGTGCAACCTGCTTTTCCATAATGTTTTTCTATAATATTTTTCTTCTTCCTTGTATGAAGCTGTATATATTCATGAAATATGCAGTTCCCATTCTACCCCAGTCTCTTGCGATCATCATTCTACTTTTTTGTCTCTATGCATTTGTTGACCCTGGGAACCTCAGTACAGGAAATTCTACCATGGCTGTTCTTTGTGTGTGTGAGAGAGGGTGGGAGGGCAGGGGTGAGTGAGAGAGGGAAAGTGGGGATAGGGGAGAAGAGTGAGGGGTCATGTGTGCCAGTCTTGGCATTTGATCTTAGGGACTTTCCTCAAGGCTAGCATGCTACCACTTCAACAACAACTCTACATATATCTTTTTTAGTAGTTAATTGGAGGTAAGACTCTCAGAGACTCTGCTACCCAGACCGCCTCCAAATCACAATCCTCAAATCTCAGCCAGGAATACAGGTTTGAAGCACTGGCACGCAACTTAACATGGCTGTCCTTTTGTGACTTGTGTGTTTTTTTTTTTAGCTAATTGTGTTCATGATTCATCAATGCTATAGCATGTATTAGAATTTCTTTAAAAAAAATCTATCTATTGGTGGATGAGTGGTTTGCTTCTGTCTTTGGTTATTATAATTGCTATTAAATGATTCTCCCAATACCTGTTCAAACCCCTACTTTCTCTTTGGTTGGTTACAAAGCTAGAACTGCTAAACCATATTTCTGTGTACTTCTATATTTAGTTCTTATTAGCGTCTTTGACCATTTTTCACTCCTGCCAGAAATCCACCAAATTTCATACTTTTCCAAATCTCCGTCATAGTTTTGAAGTTTTTATTTTTAATGTATCCATAGCCCTGAGGTAAACTAGGCATTTCATTGTGATTTTTATTTGAAAGTTTCTTTTGTTACTACTAATATTGAACACCTTTTAATTAACCATTTATCTATATTACTGTGGGAAGGTCTCTTTCCCATATTAAAATCCATTTTCATTTTTTTTTGTTCCCCACCAGTCCTGGGGCTTGAATTCAGGGCATGAGCACTATATCTGAGCTTTTTTTTGCTCAAGCCTAGTATTCTACCACCTGAAACACAGCACCACTTCTTTTCTGTTTATGTGGTACTGAGGAATTGAACCCAGGTTAACCATGAAGCCACATTCCCAGCCCTTTGTTTGTTTTTGAGTTACAGGATTTTATTTTATAATCTTTTAAATGAATTCTGTTTATTAATCTATTACGAGATATAAGCAAATATTTTCTCAAATTTCATGAATACATTTGTCATTGGGCCTTTCATGTACCATATTTCAATTGTATATATTTGACCTTGTCTGGTTTTTGTACCATGCACTTTTGGTGGTATATCCAAGAAATAATTGTCAAATTTAATGAAACTCTTTCTCCTTCATACTGTTTTTTTTGTTTTTCGGGTTTTTTGTTGATCGTGGGGGCTGAACTCTAGGCCTGGGCACTGTCCCTCAGCTCTTCAGCTCAAGGCTAGTGCTCTACCACTTGAGCCACAGTGCCACTTCTGGCTTTTTTCTGCTTATGTGGTGCTGAGGAATCAAACCCAGGGCTTCATGCATGCGAAGCAAGCACTCTACCACTTCCCAGCCAGTCATCATTAATTTAATACTACAATAAAACAGGATTATTATTAGTGGTTTATGTAGAAATATATATCCAACCTAACCTACAATAGTCCATGTTTCAAAGAAACTGCTGTCTTTCATCTCTAATAATTTTAACTGTTTTCTTCTGATAGGTTTTCTTTAGTGAATGAATTGGCAAGTCTAGTCCATCTCCAAGGAGGAATTTATTTTCACCTCAAAGGTGGAAAAATTGAGTTTGTTGCCACCATGAATGAAAAATAAATGGCATTATTACAATTCATTGTGCTCTGGACCCATCCTAATTTCTCTGCAAGGTTTTTGAATCATAGATTATTAGAAATGTGTATGTAATTATGATGTATTTGCAAATTATGGTTCTCCTTTTTGATTTGTACCTCTCAGGGAATGTACTCACAACATTTTGCCAAGGGATTTATTTTCACTTTCAGTGTGTCTTAGTAAATGTAACACACAATGCTTGATGAACAACAGTGACATCAAGATAATGTTATCTATGTGTGTGTTCCTTTTTTTTTGGGGGGGGGTCCAGTTGTGGGCCTGAACTCTGGGCCTCTTCAGCTCAAGGCTAGTGCTCTACCACTTGAGCCACAGTGTGACTTCCGGCTTTTTTCTTATGTGGTGCTGAAGAATCGAACCCAGAACCTTAAGCATGCAAGGCAAGTGCTCTACCACTGAGCCACCTTCCCAGCCCTATGTGTGTGTATGTTCCTGCTGTTGGTTTTTGTTTAGTTGTTCTATTGGTAATTGAGAAATATTAATTATCCAATTGTAGTGTTCAATGTTAAAATAATCCCTTTTTAATTCCATGGCTTTGTTGCATGTTTTGGGAGACTTCATTTTTAAGCATATAACTTGTATTATTCTGATGTATGATTTGATGTTATTATTATGTCTCTATCTGTGGTCATACAGTTTGTGTGGACATTTGTTCCTTTCCTACTATCTTTATTTGAGCTTCTCACTATTGATTTTTGCTTATGTCACCTTTGTATTTGTTTATTTATTTTCATATCCTTTAGGTTATGCCTTTGTAAGTAATATATTATTGAGTCTTTGATTTTTTTTTTTAGGTTTTTTTTTTTTTTTTTTGGTCATGCCAGACAATGCCTCTGTCTTTACTCCACTTACATTAAAATACTAATACAATTACATTTATATCTACCATTTTGCTACTTATTTTCTCCTTCTCAATCTGGTATTTTTTCCTTATTTATCTTTTTAGAGCGTGTTAACTAAATATTTCTAGCATAGTCCTCTCTAGTATCCACAGGAATGGTTCCAAAAATCCTTACACAGGCGCTGGGAAGGTGGCTCAGTGGTAGAGCACTTGCTTCGCATGCATATGGCCCTGGGTTCGATTCCTCAGCACCACATAAGCAAAAAGAAAAAAGCCGGAAGTGGCACTGTGGCTCAAGTGGTAGAGCGCTAGCCTTGAGCTGAAGAACTGAGGGACAGCACCCAGGCTCAGAGTTCAGGCCACACATTGGGACACAAAAAAAATTAAAAAGAAATCCTTACACATACCAAAATAGATGCTCAAGTTCCTTATATAAAACTGTATTGTGATTTTATACAACCAGCACACATACATCTGTATACTTCAAATCACCTCTGAACTACCCCTGTTACTTAGTACAAATTAAATGCAATGCAAGTAGTTGTTACTTGGCATTTTTCAGGGAATTATCACAATTTTTTTAAGTCTGTACATGTTCAGTAAGAAGCTATATATTTTAAAATTTTAAGATTGGGGGCTGGGAAGGTGGCTCAGTGGTAGAGCGCTTGCCTTGCATGCATGAGGCCATGGGTTCAATTCCTCAGCACCAAATAAGCAAAAAGAAAAAAGCCGGAAGTGGTGTTGTGGCTCAAGTGGTAGAGCACTGGCCTTGAGCTGAAGAGCTGAGGAACAGCGCTCAGGCCCAGAGTTCAGGCCCCATGACTGGACCAAAAAAAAAGAAGAAGAAGAAGAAGAAGCCAAAACTGCAGGCAGCTTGTTCTTGAGGTCTCATTTCTATAACTTCAAGAAAATGTATTTCTTTCACCATCTGTTTTGGTATGACAGCCATAGGAAAGTAAATATACTTAAGAGCACTGTCATACTGCATCATAGTGTATAGGTACTTTTTAAGGGAATAGTTCCATATATAAGCTTGATCTTTTATACATTTAAAGATATTGGTGATATTATAGATTTGAACTTAGAGCATGATACATGCAAGGCAAGTACTATAGCAATTACATATTTGATCTGTAGCCCTAGTTCTTGTACTTTTGTTTTTAATACATGCATGTATGTAAATATTGAATCTTCATTTATGTGAGTTACCTATAGTCTATTGTCTTTGTTGTTGCTGTTGTTAGTCATGGGGCTTAAATGCTGGGCTTGGGTGCTGTCCCTGCATTTTTCAGCTCAAGGCTAGCATTCTACCACTTGAGCCACAGCACCACTTCCAGTTTTCTGGTGTTTAATTGGAGATAAGAGTTTCCTGGAGGGCTGGAAGGTGGTTCAGTGGTAGAGCACTTGCTTTGCATGCCTGAGGCCGTGGGTTCGATTCCTCAGCACCACATAAGCAAAATGAAAAAAGCCGGAAGTGGCGCTGTGGCTCAAGTGGTAGAGTGCTAGCCTTGAGCTGAAGAGCTGAGGGACAGCGCCCAGGCCCAGAGTTCAGGCCCCACGACCAGACCCAAAAAAAAAAAAAAGAGTTTCGTGGACTTTTTGCCCAGGCTGACTTTGAACCATGATCCTCAGATTTCAGCCTCCTGAGTAGCTAGGATTACAGGCATGAGCCACCAGCACCTGGCTCTATTGTCATTTTTACTTGAAGCCATCATTTAAAAAATTACATAAAACAAATATATATGTACCTGTGTATGTGTATGTTTGAATGTGTGTGTATGTGTGTAGTTGTTCTTTTATACTTACTGACAGATCTGGTCCTGGTCCCATCAGTATGTCTAAGTTTGCACCTTTTGTCATTTTCTAAGCAGGACAATTTCTTGTAGCACTCTGGGAGTGCAAGTATACTGTTGATCTTTATCTGAAAATATGTTCAACCTACATTATTAGAATAGCTCCTCTGGGCAGAAGATTGTGAATTGAAGGTTGTGTTCTGTGAACCCTTTACAGATATATTTCCTTTCTGTGTGTTTGGGGTCAACATTTATTTCTAATGTTGCTAAACATAGCAAAAGTAGAAAGAGGGTTGGACATTCTTTCTTTGTAGTGAGACTCAACATGGGAATAAAACTCTCCTTGTGCCCTGTGCACAACATATTAGTACCAAATTCTGTTGTATCCTCCTTTATTTTCTTCCAAATTTTTTTGATCAATTCCCCAATTTTACTTTTTTTTTTTTTTGCTCTGCTGTGGGTAGTCATGTCTCACACTGCTTTCTTATATTCTGCTTCTTATTTCTTTCCATATCCCTTCCATCCTTCCAAGAGGAACTAGTAATGCATATATGGTCAAGGCACATTTTATTCCCTCTCATTTATGTTCTGTATTACAGATGGTGGGTAATGCTACCAGTTATTTAGTATTTAGGAATGAAATATAAGGGAGGCCTCAAAACATCTTTAGGGATATACTAACAACAATGAGCACATAAAACTTAAGTAAAATTTTCTATGTCCTAAATCATTAGTAATCAATTTCTTGATTACTGTTACTTTCTTTAACATTTACCTGGACACTGTGTTTTTTTGATAAGCTAATGTGGTATGCAACTCTTGTGATTGCCTGATGGAGCTCTGTATAGTTTAGATTCTAGGCATCTATTTGTAGTTGATGTCTTTAGTGCAGATCATTGGGTCCTGGAAGATCATTTTTACCTTATCTTCTCTTGCTAGCAACAAAAAACATTTCCTGATTGATAAGGGAAACTTTGCTTTAGTAATTTATAAGTTAGTATAGAGGCAGATATTTCTACTTGAACTTTACTTTTCCATACTGCATAGGTAACAGAGCAAGCTTGAACCATTTTATGCACGACAGAAACATACATGTAAAGGAATGAAATCCTCAGAGTTGGTTTTCTCATGACTCAGGGTTAATGACTTTTTGAAATGTGCCGTTTCAGGGGTTGGTATCCTTTGAGGATGTGTCTATGGACTTCAGCTGGGAGGAGTGGAAGGACCTGGATGGTGCCCAGAGGACCCTGTATAGGGATGTAATGCTGGAGACCTATAGCAACATGGTATCCTTGGGTGAGCAAAGATCACATCAATTACTAGGAACAAGAACTTTGTTCTTTTTTTTTTCTCTTTTTTTTTGTTGGTTGAGGGGCTTGAACTCTGGGCCTGGGTGCTGTTTCTCAGCTCTTCAGCTCAAGGCTAGTGCTCTGGTATTTTATTGGAGATAAGAGTCTTACGGACTTGCTTGCCCAGGCTGGCTTTGAACTGCAATCCTCAGATCTCAGCCTCCTGAGTAGCTAGGATTACAGGCATGAACCACTAGTACCTGGCTAAGGGCTTTGTTCTTAATAGATATAGGAATATGGATCAGATTTAATTCTATTTAGATGTAATATTCTAGTCTTTGAGGACCATCATGTCCCCATAACAAAGTTCAATTTGGTTGCACAACTCCTGAAACCATCTTCTTGTCATTCTTCATGGTGCTAAGTGAGTAGTTTGGTGAAAGGGCACTATGTTCTCAAATCTGAGTTAATTATGAAGCTGGAGCAAACACCAGAAGAACCCTCAGAATAGGGCTTCCGAGGTGATTCAGTAAATTCTGGATAGGGAAGTTGTGAAGATCAGAGCCAGTGTGGCTGTTCCAGCAGTTTCCATAGCTTCTATACCCAAGGACAGCTCCTATGCATTGCTGTCTTATGTAGTCTTCATTGGTGTCTCTTGTATAACTGTATCCCCCATTTTTGTTTGTTGAAGTCTTACCTAGGACTCCAGTCACTTTCTGAGTCTTAGACTTTCTATATGTTCAGTTGCTTTTTTTTTTTTTTTTTGCCAGTCCTGGGGCTTGAACTCAAGGCCTAAGCACTGTCCCTCATCTTCTTTTTTTGCTCAAGGCTAGAACTCTACCCCCTGAGCCTCAGACCACTTCTGTATTTTTCTTTTTATGTGGTACTGAACAATCAAACCCAGCGCTTTATGCATGCTAGGCAAGCACTCTACCGCTAAGTCTGTTCAGTGTTTTTTGTGTTTGTTTTTGTTTTTTTGGGGTCCGGTCATGGGGCCTGAACTCTGGGCCTGGGCGCTGTCCCTCAGCTCTTCAGCTCAAGGCTAGCACTCTACCACTTGGGCCACAGCGCCACTTCCGGCTTTTTTATTTTTGCTTATGTGGTGCTGAGGAATCGAACCCAGGGCCTCAGGCATGCAATGCAAGCACTCTACCATTGAGCCACCTTCCCAGCCCCATGTTCAGTGTTTTTTTTACTGTTCATTTCTAAAATCTTTTCCCCTGAGCATTTATTAATACTTCATAAATTCCTTCAATTCTTGTTAGTTGGATAATTCACATGTGCTGGTATTTTAATGACTGCAGATAAAAATATAAATCAAATGTATTTCCTTTTAAAGAATATTATACTACTTTGTAAATTAGAACAAAAAAATTAAATATGTTTAATGATGAGATGGGATCCACAAGCAAAATTTTACCTGGATGAGGCAGAGAAATAAATAGGATGAGAAATATAATTTACTTATATTTACTTCTCAAATTTGACATATCATATAATAGGTTGATATACCATTTCCAATGAAGTATACATCCCTATTGGAGACAAGAATGTGGAAATCAGTAATTTAAAGCTGGTATTTAAAATGAAAAGCACATATTTAGGGAGGAAGTCATCTATAGAATTGAGGAGAAATGAGAATATACTTTCTCTACCAGGTTGTCTGAGATCATTACACCAGGCCATAGTTCTGTACTGTTTCCTATTAACAGGGTACTGCATTCCTAAACCTGAAGTGATTGTGAAGCTGGAGCAAGGGGCAGAGCCATGGCTGGGAGAAGCCCCAGATAAGAGTATCACAGGTGAGTCAGCATTTACTGGACATGAATGTTAAAAAGAGCAGAGCTTGCCAGGTGCCGGTGGCTCATGCCTGTAATCCTAGCTACTCAGGAGGCTGAGATCTGAGGATTGTGGTTCAAAGCCAGCCCGGGCAGGAAAGTCCGTGAGACTCTTATCTCCAATAAACCACTAGAAAACCAGAAGTGGTGCTGTTGCTCAAGCGGTAGAGTGCTGGCCTTGAGCTGAAGAGCACAGGGACAGCGCCCAAGCCCAGAGTTCAAACCCACTACCGACAAAAAAAAAGAGCAGAGCTCAGAAGAGGTGACTATATTGAGATGTTCTCATTCATGTTCCAGCTCCCGGATTCCTGTGTTGCTGGTTCTTTCCAGCAACTGTGCCAATGGATAAAGACATGTCATAATGACACCATGAGAGGTGTCAAGAGAAAATGTCTCTCTTTTTTTGCTTCTATATGGTCAGATTTTAACAGGGCTAGTTTAAGGGAATTGCAGGAACAGATCAAAAGGGAATCTTCTAAGCACTAAAGAACAAGATACTAAAAGGCAGTAAGGTTAAGTGCACAAAGGCAATTTTCCTGTCTTTGATAGGATTATTGCAGAACTTTAGACAGACATAATCCTGTCTTTAATTAAACACAGGATAAGGAATCATAAAACCACCAGTTTTCTACTAGAGTAAGTGGCAGATAATATGTCCTAAACTTAAAAGCACTAGCAGTGAGTTATTGAGTATTTTGACTAAATATCCCTTCTGATAATAAAACAGAGAACAAAACTTAAGAAGAGCACGACTGTATCAGTATTTGTTAAGTAACTTATTAGGGAGAAATGCATACAGTTCTCATGAATCCATTCCTAGTGCTATTGTTTTTGAATCTTCAGTAAGGAGGATGGGAAGAAATGACTTTACCTTTACATGAGTATTCATTAAGAAATTCTTACATACCATCATGATTTTATTCTGCCTTTTTGTTAAACATTTTAGATGTCCAGCAAGTTGATGGTTTCATTGAAATGTGCCAGGAATGTCCAGACACACATCTGTTGCAAATTGTAATCACCAATAATAACACAGTGGAGGAAAGAGTTAGGGTTTTAGGTATAAAAAATGTATCAAATCTTGCTACAAACCAGACCTCACTGTGTAACAGGAAACTCACACAGGAGAGATACCCTATGAATATAATGAATGTAATTCCCAGAAGTCAAAACTCATCAAAACTCAGAGAACTCACACAGGAGACAAATGACATGACTGTGGAAAGTCTTTCAAGCAAAACTCAATCCTCAGTATGTCTCAGAGAAGACACACAGAAGAGAAATCTTATGAATATGACATATGTGGAAAGTCTTGTAAGTGAAAATCACAGCCAAGTGTGCATCAAAGAACATACAAGGGAGAAACCATATGAATATAACACGTGTGGAAAGTCTTTCATACTGAATGCAAACCTCAAGGCACATCAAAGAACACACACAGGAGAGAAACAATTTGAATGTAACATATGTGGAAAGTCTTTCAGACAGATGTCACGTCTCCATATGCATCAGAGCACACACACAGGAGTGAAATCTTATGAATGCAACAAATGTGGAAAGTCTTTCTACTATAAGTCCCACCTCAGTGTGCACCAGAGAACACACACAGGAGAGAAACCATATGAATGTAACACATGTGGAAAGTCTTTTGTCATCAAGTCATTCCTCAATGATCATCAGAGAATTCACACAAAAGAGAGGCCTTACGAATGTAACAAATGTAGAAAGTCTTTCAGCAGGAAATCAAGTCTTCTCAGGCATCAGAGAATTCACACAGGAGAAAAACCTTATGAATGTCACAAATGTGGAAAGTCTTTTGTTTTCAAATCAAACCTCAATGAGCATCAGACAACACACACAGGAGAGAAACCATATGAATGTAACACATGTGGAAAGTCTTTTGGCCAGAAATCAAGTCTTAGCAAGCATAAGAGAATTCACACAGGAGAGAAACCTTATGAATGTAACAAATGTGGAAAGTCTTTCCACTACAAGTCATACCTCAATGTTCATCAGAGAACACACACAGGAGAGAAACCATACGAATGTAACACATGTGGAAAATCTTTTGTCACCAAGTCATTCCTCAATGATCATCAGAGAATTCACACAGGAGAGAAACCTTATGAATGTAACAAATGTGGAAAGTCTTTTGTTTTCAAGTCAAGCCTCAATGAGCATCGGACAATACACACAGGGGAGAAACCATATCAATGTAACACATGTGGAAAGTCTTTCAGCTATATGGCAAGTCTCTGTAGGCATCAGAGAATTCACACAGGAGAAAAACCTTATGAATGTAACAAATGTGGAAAGTCTTTTACCAACAAGTCATACCTCAATGCTCATCAGAAGACACACACAGGAGAGAAACCATATGAATGTAACACATGTGGAAAGACTTTTGTCACCAAGTCATCCCTCAATGATCATCAGAGAATTCACACAGGAGAGAAACCTTATGAATGTAACAAATGTGGAAAGTCTTTTCACTACAAGTCAAGCCTCAATATTCATCAAAGAACACACAAGAGAGAAACCATATGAATGCAACACAAGTGGAAAATCTTTCAGCAATATTTCAAGTCTCCACAGGCATCTGAGAATTCACACAGGAGACAAACGTGAATATAACATGTGGAAAGTCTTTCACCAGCAAGTCAGATCTTAGACATCAGAGTTTACACTGGAGAGAAATCAGTACCATCAGAAAAATGGAAATGAAAATTCTAGGAGCTTTGAACTTTGGTCTGGGTCAGCCTCTACCTCTCTACCTCCTTCATAGAGCATTGAAAATTACAGAGGTTGACAAGCATGCTTTGAAGCAGCGTACTTTGGCCAGATACCTAAGGAACTGACTATGATAGATTATGGAATGGTGCACATTCCTCCTCAAATTGCAGCAGGAGCTCTTCGATTTGCACTGGAAATTCTTGATGGTGAATGGACATGACTTCTCTAGCATTACCTGTCTTACATTGGGAATCTCTTCCTCTTATGCAGCACCTGGCTAACAACATAGTCATGGACAGTTGGCGCTTCCAAAGCACATGACTTTTGAGAAGAGTATGCTACACATAGACATGCGAACATCAGCATCTACCACAGCTGGATTCTATAGTAGTGACAAAGGTCTCAAACTTGTCAACTTGTTTTGGTGTACTATGATAATAACTGCAAATAAAATTGGCACCATGTGCCACTTGTATATACTATACTACATTGACTGGGATTTTAATGGAGGTTGTGGCCATTTTTACTTTTAATAGCTTAACTTGTCTAAATGTGGTTATTTCCTACTCTAACTTGTAAGTCATAAGTGCATTCTAAATCCAGTTTTCATTTTATGTATTTTTGTTTATTGGTTAGGGAAGTAAATAGGATGTTCAGAACAAATAAGCTAATTTATCCTACCTTTCTGAATCTTATCCTCCTGAAGGATATTGACAGATTAAGAAACATCTAGCTCCCATACCCTCTATAAACATCCATATATATGAGTTGTTGTGGAGCGTTTTTCATGGGTCTATTCACTATACAGCAAAATTCCGTCCAGCATGTGTAGCCCTTTTTATATTTAATACTTCACATACTATGCATGTACGAAATGTAATGTAGACATATATTGCCCTGTTGACATTCAGACCGCATTTGCTCATTGCCTGTACAGTGTTGGTTAAAAATTATTTTATACCATTTTTTCTTGATGTGATACATTTCCCAAAGTATATGTATGTGTTCAGGCAGAGCCAAATGAATTTGTCAGATGTCATCAGCAGTGTACACCAGTGTTTTCTCTGTATCTTTGTTAAAGCTGAATGTAATCTGTCTTAAATCTTTGTGAATGCATCACCCCCTGGTGATACCTACTTCCTTCCAAAGATAGGGTATTTCTTGGGCTCATTTCTTTTTTTTTGGAGGGGGGGTCCGGCCGTGGGGCCTGAACTCTGGGCCTGGGCGCTGTCCCTCAGCTCTTCAGCTCAAGGCTAGCGCTCTACCACTTGAGCCACAGCGCCACTTCCAGCTTTTTCCCAGGGCCTCAAGCATGCAAGGCAAGCGCTCTACCACTGAGCCACCTTCCCAGCCCCACTGGGCTCATTTCTTACCTAAGGTTTTGTGGTTGATGTGTTTGTAGAGTTTATCTTTTGCTTTTTGTTTTTTGTTTGTAGGTCATGGGCCTGGATGCTGTCTCTGAGCTTTCTTGCTCTAGGCTAGTGCTCTATCACATTGAGCTGCAGTTCCACTTCCAGTTTTCAGATAGTTAATTGTAGATAACAGTCTCGCAGCCTTTTATGCCCAGGCTGGTTTCAAACCATGATCCTCAGATCTCAGCCTTCTTAGTAGCTAGGATTATAGGCATAAGTTACCAGTGCCTAGTTTTTCCCTGGCCTTTTCATTTTTTCTTGTTTTCTTTTTTTCAGTAACCATGATTACTTATACATGGAAAACTAAGTGAAGAGAAAAATAAAACCCATGAATCATGTAAAGAAAAAGATTTAGATAATACAGGGAAATACATACACATACAAACACATTCTACCAAGTAACTGAAGAGATGAGGTTCAATTTCCTTGTCAAGTAAATTGAAATTAGACCTTGAACAACTATTTGCCACAAAAATATCTGATTCCCAATAATCCTGGAGAGGAACATGAGCCAAAGAAGCACTTATTTTATTTAAAGACACATCAAGGCACTCACTGGTCGCTCAATAGAATCCTAGCTATTCAAAAGGCCAAGATATGAAATTGTGATTCATAGCCAGCCTGGTCAGACACGTTTACAAACAGATCTACAAAGCCCTTATTTCTAATTAAAATGAAGATGTTAAAAGTAGAAAATTGGCTCAAATCGTGTTGTGCCAACTTGGAGGGACAAAGTGAAGTGAGAACATGAAGCTCTACATTCAAGCCCCAGTACTAGCAAATGAAGTCACATAAAAAGCTAACTTGTGGAAAGTCTCTCCTCCATACACTCACACTCAGAAATTAAACTCTTAGGAAGCTTATCTGAATGTATGTAAATCACTACTTCCTTTTACCTGTTTTCCTGCAAGAAAATGCAAATAATTATGCATTTTTACTGGACTATGGATTCATAGTAATTATAAAGACCCTAAATAAAAGAATAGGAGGAAAAAGCACTAGTCATTTGCCTTAATGAGGCAAATTAATGATTGGCAATGTCAGTCCAGAGAAAATGCTGCATTGGATGGTTCAGAACACATGGACAGGTAGAGCTCTTTCATAGGAGGGCAGAAAAAAAGACCTTCCTTTAGAAGGCCAGCAGGTGGCCACCTAGGCATGTCCACTAGGCATTGTCACAGGGGTTACATAAACAAGCTGTTCTGAGTGGGGTCACAGAAGGTGACCTGGGATAGTACCTTTCATTCTGATTTCTTATGAGGGCTGGCAGAAAGACTCATTCATAGCAAGGTGTACTTCAGATACCAGCAAGGGAATGGTCCTTTTAAGTCTAAATCTAGAGAGCATGGCAGGGGCACCAAATTCATGAGAGGTCCTATAGCTCCCAGAGCCATGTACATGCCTGTGTATGAGCCATACTTTCCTCTCTAGGCTTTATAGTTTTTTGAGAGGTGAACATTGAATATTACAATGTGGTCACTCTGGGAAACCTCATGAGTTTGGTTTAGTGCCTTGCTGAAGGTTCCAAGCTTCTATTCCAGCACCCAGAATGTGCCCTCCTCTGGATGAATGGGAGAAGACAAACATGACCTTCTACCCATCAGGTCAAGGAGGGGCTGAGGTCCCCTTGCAGTTGGAACTCAGAAGCTGACACAGATGTCGCCTTCAGGGCAGAGACAAATCACTGGATGAGGCCACAAAGCCACAGTCACACCAAGACAGTTGTAAGATCACTTATGTCCTCGGAGAAGTCTGGTCTCAAAGGTTATATACACAGGGAAGCAGCAAGTCTGCTTAGAGTTCTTTGAGGCTGGATTAGGCAGCACTCATTCTCAGCCTCTGTAATATTTATTTTAATGATGCTGCTGGATATCCCTAGTGAAATTTTCATTTCATATCTTATCTCGCATCCAGAATGTGTGGTTTCTGTTCATCATTTGAGTCTCCACGTTGAAATCCTAAGTGGCTGAAATGTCTTCTCAGTCCCTGGAATGGCAGGGCCCCTAGTTTCCTTCAAGTCACTGAGTATTACTAAACGAATTTTTTTCTTCGAGTACTAGTCCCAATGTCTGTGATTCCTCCTGGATAGCTTTTGTCAAAACCATGATCCCTGTGCATGAGCCATGCTTTCCTCTCTAGGCTTTATAGTTTTTTTGAGAAGTGAATGTTGAGTATTGCAACCTGGTCACCCTGAGAAAGAGATTTCCCCCCTCATGAGTTTGGTTTAGTGCCTTGCTGAAGGTTCCAGGCTTCTATCCCTGATTATCAAGCCTGATCTCTTCACAGAGGTCACAATGTGTGGATTCTCACCACCACCTCTGGCCCTCAGTGCAATAGATATTTACCTGGAAAGACACTGGGGCTTCCACTCTGCCAATTTGGCTGTATTAGTTACTTTTTCAAAGACACCCAAAGCTGGGACACCAGTGGCTCATGCTTGTAACCTAGCTACTGAGGAAGCTGAGATCTGAAGATCATGGTTCAAAGCCAGTCTGGGCAGAAAAGTCCCCATGAGACTCTTCTCCAATTAACCACTCAAAAACCAGAAGTGGAGCTGTGGCTCCAAGTGGTAGAGTGCTAGCCTTGAACAAAAGAGCTCAGGGACAGCACCCAGGCCTTGGTTCAAGCCCCAAGAACAGCAAAAGCAAAAGCACCCAAACATCAGACATTGCATGTCACATGTCACATACACAGAGGTCTTTCTTTTGGGGGGGGGTCCGGTCGTGGGACCTGAACTCTAGGCCTGGGCGCTGTCCCTCAGCTCTTCAGCTCAAGGCTAGCGCTCTACCACTTGAGCCACAGCGCCACTTCCGGCTTTTTTCTTTTTGCTTATGTGGTGCTGAGGAATCAAACCCAGGGCCTCAGGCATGCAAGGCAAGCGCTCTACCACTGAGCCACCTTCCCAGCCCCACAGAAATCTGAGGATTGAGATTCAGGGCTTTCCAGGTGAAGAAGTCTATGAGACTCTTATCTCCATTAAGCAGCAAAAGGCAGAACTGAAATTTTGGCTCAAGTGGTAGAACACCAGCCTTGAATACCAAAAACAGCCCAGGCCCTGAGTTTAAGCTCCAGTACTGGCATAGACACACAAAAACAGTATGTGACAGCCTGTTACAATTCATTATGGTAAGGGTCAAAGTTGTGAAGTTGAAAAATATTGTGATCTCATAGTTACCCTCTATTTCCTTCAGCTCTTGCTGGAATAAAGCAAAGAAGAAAACTTTGCTTTTTAAATATGTGACTGAGTTGTCTTCACTGCATGCTGCTGTATCATTTTGGCATGAGCCCATTGACTATTTCTTTTGTATTCATGACATTAAGAGAGAGACCAGTGTCCACCATCATTAGAGGACATTTCAGCCACTGGAGATTCCACTATGGACATTGGAACAAACAGAAACCAAACATTCTGGATGCCAAGTTAAGAAAAGCAATAAAAAAAAAATTCACTAAGGACATTCAGCAGCCACCATGATGGGGAACGAATAATTTAAAAAAATGAAGGTAAGTGAGGCTGAGCGCAACATGGATGACCCAGGGTAAAGTGGCTGGTCACTGGTGGAGAAGTGAAGTGGGTGCTGCCTGAGCCAGCCCCAGAGCACACCAAGCAATTTCATGACTTCCCTGTGAATATAATCTTTGCGGCCTGAACTGCAGAGAACAGAAGGTGACCTTCCTTCCTTTGTGCAACTACAATGTTGTGGTCTCATCTTCTAGAGATTTATCTCTGTTTCAATGCACCTGCTTTTGCCAGCTGCAAGGGGAATCCAGCCCCTTCTTGAATTGAAGAACAGGTGCCAGTGTTTATGTCTCTTTTCCCCTCCAAATCATTCAGAGGACAGAACATTTTGGGTGCTCTACATGGCCCTGTTGTTTCCCATGCCTCCCATGAATTAGTACCCGTCATAGTCTCTAGATTCTAGACTACAAGGAATGTTTCCTCTGGTGACATCTGAAATTTCCCTCCATATTGCTGAGTCTCCTTGATAACCTTCTTCAGATAAGAAGTCAGAATGAAAGGCACTACCCCAGGTTGCCTTCAGTGATCCCATGCAGAACAGGCTCCTGTGTTTATATAACCCCTGTGACAAAGCCTGGGGGACAAGCTTAGATGGCCTGGTAAGAGAGAGAACCCAATGAAGTTATGCAAGGATGGAATGGGAAAGGATGAGGGTCTTGGAGTCTGTGACCCCTTCCTGAACCCAAAGATCCATCTGGAGCTAAGCTCTGGTTGACTCGCCCCCACCCTGGCTACGCCAAGTAACTTGCAACCACAGCTTGGAGAACTTGGCTCGAACTCTGGGACTATAGAGACATTACCAGGACTCTGTTTTAGGCCTAGTCTAAGGGCACCACAGTCCATAGGTGGTTGTGAGTTGCCCTCTGGCTTTGCTGTAGTTTGTAAAAACCATTCCAGAGTCTACATAGAGTATCAACAGAGCCCTTTGTGACTTGGTGGTCATTTTTGTATTGTCACCTGAGTCTTCTGTCCTCCTTATTTGAGATACCACGTCCAACAATGCTTGTTGTCACTTGCAAACTTTGCTCTTGCTCTGAAAGGTCAGGGCATGGTGAGTTGGCTAGGGGAACCATGTGAGCATCAGGGACCATTGGGGCAGAAGTTTTACCATGAGAATCATTGGTCCTCAGGGGTTTCTTAAGTCTCCTATTGGCAGGGAAAATAAGTGTCAATAAACCATGGGGACATTGTTCTACATGACTCTCCTTCTGGTGGCACTTAGGTTTAACATTGACCTTGATAAAATTGGCTGCTATCCACCTTGAGTATGAAGTTGAATCTAGTGATGATGGTACTGACACAGACTGATCTCTCATTTTTACTGATTACAGGTGAAAGCATCCATCCCAGAAGATCATGTGGATACAATCACATATAGGAGAAGGAAGTTTATAAAGGAGGTTTATCAGAGGGGCTGACAAAGCCATCTTCCTCAAGGGAGAGTGAGCAACGTGGCACCCATGCCTATTCAGGGGGCTAACACTGGGGCTAGAGGTGGGAGGTACTCTGAGGGTCAGCTGGGACTGAGCAGAGAGTAGAAATGCTGGACTATCTAGGAGAAACTGGTGGGTACCCTGGGAGTATAAGGGTGAAATTCTGGTGCTGCAGGAAGTGAAGTAGAAGGGGCTGAAGCCCTGAGATGGAGGGCATGCTGACAACAGGTATGTGCCAAGGGCAGCCCTGTTATGGTTGTTCCTGATTTTGCTTCTTGTTCTGAATACGGGACTTAAGGTTAGAATCCTTGTATCAGCCACTTGCATGGCTTTATGGCTGTGATCCTGTGTGAATGGCCTTAATTGTCACCAGGGACTGTTGATATCACAATCAGGCATTATATCCTTCCTGTTGAAAGCAACTGTGATTAGACAGATTGGATCAAGCCAGACCAAACCATGATAAAATACATTAGATTAAACTCAAGCCCTCTGTATGTACTCAAACCTTTATATTAGATGAGATTCACTGGATGACAGATGACAGTGTGGAGAACAACAGGTAAAAACTAGGTGGCTGAGGCAGGAGGATTATGAGTTGGATCACAAGTTCAAGGCCAGATTGGCTATGATGTGATACCTAGTCTTAAGAAAACCCAAAGAAGGGGGGGGGGGGGTAGGAGATGGGAAGAGATGGTAAGGGGAAACAAAGGAGGAAGCAACAATGCTTGATAAGAAATGCACTCATTACCTTGTCCATGTAATTGTAACCCCTCTGTATGGTATTTTCACAATAAAAAAAGAAAAAGAAAGAAAACCCAAAGAAACAAAAAAAAATCCAAAGGACAACACAAAAAACAAAATCCAAATTGTGGATTATCATTTCTGAAGTGTGGTAGAGTAAAGGAGTCAGGAACCTAGGAGTGAACAGATACTAACAAGTCATCCATACATCATTGTGTGTGGATCATATTTGCCTAACTCAAACAAATTAAGACAACTAAAACAGATACAGACATTGCCCACCCAACTCGACCCTATTTGATGATTTTAAGGAAGTAGATACAGCTACTGCTGAAGGGTGTCAATGGTACCTAACTTATGGAGAAAAATTATCATTCTGAGGTCTGATCCCAAATAACACTGGAAAAAGAAATGAATATGACCATAGATTGAATAGACTGATCATAAGTGGACAATGATTGCTTAAGTTGGCTGGTGAATGTGGGGAGATATTACACATTATATGTCTGAAATTTTCCATAATAAAACATTTTCTATTCATCCTGGGGGTTGAAATCAGGGCCTGATTCCTATCCCTGAGTTCTTTTTTGCTCTAGGCAAGCACTCTGCCATTTGAACCTTAGCTCCACTCTGGCTTTTTTTGGCCACTTTTGGAGATAAGTGTTTCACAAACTTTACTGCCACAGCTGGTTTTAAACTGACATCCTCAGATCTCACCATCCTGAGCAGTTAGCTTTACAGGACTGAACCACCAGAACCAGGCAATAAAGAGTCTTTTAAATAGGTTATTATATTTGGATCTGGGGTTTATACTCATTTAAAGAATGAAGTTGAGATCTAGCATTACTTCTTCCCAGGTTGAGTTGATACTACAATCATCTACACTCTGCCACCTTTATTCTTCACTAGTGGGAGATGTCTATAGTATCATCAAACTCCTTTTAAACTTGTATGTATATTTTACTTGTTGCTTTTGCTCCAGGGATTTGTCTGTGCAGACTGGCACCAACAATCATGTATGTGTGTGTGTGTGTGTGCATGTGTGTGTGTGTTGATCATGGGGCCTGGTCTCTGGGCCTGGGAGCTCTCCCTGTGCTCTTCAGCTCAAGGCTAGTGCTCTACCACCTGAGCCACAGCACCAGTTTGGGCTTTTTCTGTTTGTGTGGTGCTAGGAATCAAACTCAGGGCCTCATGCATACAAGGTCACTGAGCCACCTTCCCAGCCCCAACAATCTATTTTTGAAAAGTCTCAATTTTGTACTGTAAATACCAAGTAGACGGTTTCATTTAAAGGAATTGCAATTTTGTAATGCTAACAAAAATAGACTATCCCAGAAAATAATTTTCCCAATTCTTCTGCTTGTCTCTCTTTCTACTACCACTAAGCAATCTTCTAAACAAGTATTGTAATGTTTTACTAAGTGCCAAACACTACACTTGACTTGCTTGAAGGACAGAACAAGCAACTTATAAAGCAGGCCTCAGAACTTAGTTCATAGTATCAAGATTCTGGCTACCAATATGACTGCTCTGGCTAGTGAAAGTAGAGAAGAGGTATTCACTTAGACTCAATGCCACTGGTGTGATTCACACCTGCAGTTGACCCAAAATGCTCAGTAATGGGCTGTTGGTGGTGGTAGTGTTGATTGTAGTAGTGTCTATAAAAATCATATGGGTCATTATCTACCATTTTTATTATTTTTTGTTGGTCATGGGGGCTGAACCCAGAGCTCAGGCGTGGGTGCTGTCCCTCAGCTCTTCAGCTCAAGGCTAGTGCCCTGCCATTTGAGCCACAGTGCCACTGCTGGCTTTTTTCTGTTTATGTGGTACTGAGGAATTGAACCCAGGGCCTCATTAATGTGAGGCAAGCACGCTATCACTGAGCCAACTTCCCAGCCCTATCTACCATTTATAAAACCAAGGACTTCCATTTAAAATCTGGAACTCACAGAATGGCATACAGAAGATGAAGAAAACACAAAGCATTGGTAAAAACACCGAGTCTTTTGAGAATATTTTAGTGTTTTAGTTATGTCTATTTGCGAGGGGGTAGGGGAGGGAGAGACACGTGAATAAGCACATATGGCCTCTTACTGCAAGGGATAGAAACTCTACAGGGCAGTGGGAGCTAGGTATACATATTTATTCTCCCCAACATCTGCAATTGCAGAAGGCGTGCCTACATAAAAGTAGGCTCAGGCAACTCTGAAATTCCTGTACTTGTGTTTTCTTCACAGAAACAAGATAATTATCAGCAATAAGTGGAACTTGAAAGTTGAATGATAGAAGCAAAAGCTTGCTAGGCCGTCACTCAAGAGTGTATGTGCATACTCAGGCTGGACCCTTGAAACATCACTTTAGGATCTTTAAGTCTTCAGAGATATAAACAAGTCCTGGTGGACGAGGGTCCAGAGTTGCTACATTATAGCATTCAAAATATTCAATTTTCACCAAAAATGGTGAGGAAAATTATTTGAAACAGTGTGAGTAGAGGATAAAAACACCTACTCTGAGAGAATGCAGCTATCAGGTTTAATAAAGTAGGAAAAAGAAACCCAACATAGTTGAGAGGAACAGTTAGGACTGAGGGCAGAGCTGTCCTGGGATGAGAAAATGATACCAGAAGAAAACACAGTGCTACAGAAAGTCATCTAGAGATATTTTCACAGTAGTAATGTGGAAGTAAGGTAAATGACCTTCCACCAATGAATGATCAATGATATGATAC